CCGACACTTTGGAAGTTAAAAATCCTTAGATAATTGTATTCTGGGTGAAATTTGTATTGGCATACATCATTAAATAGAGGGGTTTGTTAGCGACGCATAGAAAAAAACGGAACTCAATTCCGAGTTCGGACGAGCCCAAAACAAGCCCGAGAGCTGCCCGAGACGTGCGCGAATGCGCGCGGAAAAATTCACTCTCGGATTTTGTCCGAAAATTCCAACCTTTCTCTCATTTTTCCTACCTTCTTTCACCTTTTCTTGCATTTTTCTTGGTGGTTGAATTATTGTTGAACTTTGGTTGATGTTAGTTGATGTTAGTAAGCTATTTATATCTATAAATAGCAACATTATCATGAAGGCAAAAAGGGGGAGAAAAAAAAAGGCAATTATTTTCTATATCATTTTATCTTTCCACATTTCTATTTTTACTACATTTGTAAGTTTGAATTTGTAAGATTGAATTATTGAAGATTGTTGAAGTTTGGACATTAAGTTTGCACTTGCTCTAGCTTGTGGATTACTAGTAAGTTTTCTTTTTATTTTATGTTTACAATGGTTTATTTACATAAAAATTTGTATGTTAAAATTACTATGAGTAACTAATCTCCTAACTAGGGTTAGGGGATAATCGTTTCGGTTTATTACTATTTATAAGTATTTTTATTACTCAATCTTTACAAATTTTATTAATCTTATGGTTAAATGATTGATCACCATTTTAATCTACATAATCGATTTCATAACCGAGAGGGGCGAAGTTGATAGAACTTGATTTGTTTAGAATAGACATGTTCGGAAACGTATTGTTTATGTGTTAACCGTTTCACTAATTCACTTGTTTACGTTTATTCATATATTACGAGAGTTAGTATGGATGAACCTCTAAATGAGTAAATTAAGAGAACCGTTTAACCGAGTAATTTAATTACCAATAAATATTAATAAAACCAGAATTGATTATCCCCAATACCCTAGACTTTATATTTATTAAAACTTATATTTATCATTTTAGTTATTCTATTTTCTTCCTTAAAACTTTATAGTTTGAAAGTATTTAACTAGTAGAACAATTTATTTGTTTGAAAGTTTTTTACTAGTAGAACAATTTATAGTTTGAAAGTATTTAACTAGTAGAACAATTTATTCGTTTGAAAGTTGTTACAAGTAGAACATCCTTTTAGTTTGAAAGTATTTACGAGTAAAACGATTTTATCGTTAGAAAGTATTTACTAGTAAAACAACTTTATCATTTGAAAGGTTTTCCGAGTAAAATGATAGCATTTATGTTATTTTTAATTTAGTTTAAAACCCCCATTATTAAATTGAATTAGAATTTTTAGGAATATTTTTTTTTTCTCTTTTGTGAATTGAATAAACATACAATTTAATCCGGCTAACCTTCCTTAGAGAACGACCCGAGTCGGGTAACTCGGTTATTACTTGCCCAAAAATATTACAAACAACGGGCAACAAACCTGCCCACATCACGCCGTAGGGATGGCCAAAAGTAGCTACGACTCACGAGCTCGACGGACCGATCACGGCCCACGTGCCCGGTCCCGTGCAAGTCCGCAATGAGCTTCTGGCAAAGACTGCAATCAAGGATACACAAACAAACCCCACGAAAAAGGAAATCATCGATCAAAGTATAGTCCTCGAACGGTCCGTCACGAAGTCGACTCACAATAGGGCCAAAAAATAAGTCCACCAAATACACATCCCGCAGCACCTCAAACCCCACCACCGACACACGCATCTCAGACAAAAGAAGAGAACGCCTGCTCAGAGCATCGGCTACCCTGTTAGAGGCACCCGAACGATGGCGAAGGACAAATGTAA